TCGAGAACTGTAAGAGATAAAGGATTTAATATTTCAGACATATATAGCTTGGTACTATTGCTTTTGTGTTTTACTATGGATTTCGGTCTAGATATCCTTGAACTTGACATTTTACCTACTTTTTGAGATTACTGACAGTGCCAACATACAACTTCTTTTTTTACATTTAAGAGGTAAGTGTATGCTAATTAGAATGTACACTGTTTGTCATAAAACATTTTGAAAAATACAGGCGTTCGAGCCCACTTGGTGCTGACCTTTGACCTTCTTCGTAAGATATACATATACTGCAGGGGGTTAATTTTATCTTATGTGAAGCAGGGATTTGATAATTAGCATTTTTACATGTTTATGGGCTCATTGCAATGTACTTTGACAATGTATGAAATACAGTGACTACAAAAACTGAAATTTTATGAAAATACATCGGGATCGGGATTGCAAATTGGATAGTTTATACTGACAATTATGGTGAAGACACTGAAGTCTCTTTGAAATCACATACTAATTAAACAAGAAAACATTGATGTAACCATCAATTGTCGCCCGGGAAATAAATAAAGTAAACAATGGATAAGATTCTTGGTCATGAAACCGCTTCGATATGCGTGAAAAAGGCATGCGTCTAAATGATGGAGACTAAAGTCGAGAATATTTTGAAAACTTATAATCGGATGAAAATCGAATAAAAACGATACTCTTTTAAACTTTATCAATTCCTCAAGCAAATGTTGGCTGCATAAAATATAAATTGAAACCATACGCATGCATCATCTATATTCAAAAATGTATTTAAAATTAAGAATATAAAACACGAACTGAACTGTGTGGAGTACGTTTTTATGCGATAAGTAAAATTCGATGTTCTAAAAAAAAGGGACCTGTCGTTTTTTCGATAGTAAATGATAAACAACTTTAAATATTAAATATGAAAAACATATATATTTTTACAGATTAGCTTTATGGAAGTAAATATATTGTGTATCTCGTAATTTATAAAAGGAAGGAAAAGTCTTTTTTATGTTTAGAGAAACCTTTAATTCTGAATAACTTCTCCCACCTCAATCCCCATAAACCAACACTTAAACTGAAATGTATAGAACAACTCTGTACTCCGGGCCGCAGTAATTGATCAATAAATATTTATTTATACTAATTTGAATTTCATTAATATTCATTTTAGCTTTGAGCTGTTAGGGATTTGTATTTTTGCTTGATTGTCAGATTCCATCGCAGTTTTACTATCCATAGATTTTTTTTTTGTTTGCATGAAAAACATATGCTAGTAGCACATACTAGTATACAGCTGACCACTCTCAGATTTAGTTACATTATAAAAGAACTAAAACCTGGTGATACATGTGCTCTCCTTAGGACATTCTAGTTTTGTTTCATACATGGGTACATATATCATGTCCAACATCGGTGCCATAGCTACTGCATATATACTTTCTCAATACCTGAGGTTTTCAACTCCGTCTTTGGCTTCATACATTGTCTCCGCTAGAAGTTGTCAAGATCATCTGTTTTGAAATCAATACTGTGACGACTCCAAACAATCTTCATTAACTTTTGAGATAACATCTGGAATTGTACACCTTTAGTTTAAGATGAATGTAGTATAGATCTACTTTCTTTTGTGTGATTAGTCGGCCAATCTGATCTAAGTCTAAGACAATTCCGTTGTTCTCGGGTTTTTTCTCAGTTCCCGGAGCACTATGTGACCTCTGCTAGCTGTCGTCTGCAAACTCAGTGGTAGGCTCTACACCTTTACAGCTAAGATGTCTATTTACGTGTCTGTATAGACAGCTACCCAAGTTTCCAGTATTGTATGAGCTGTCATAAATTTGTCGATAAAAATGTAATATTGATGTAAATGGCAATGCGGAGAGTCTCTCATCTCTGTTTATGGCCGGTCTGTGAATTTATGTTTGAATTATTCAAAAGAACGCACATTTCAAAGAATTTATTAGAAGGTTATCTGCACGCCCTGGGGACCATAAATATTATGTGATTCTATCTTTTTAAAGCTGGG